AAAATAAGTAACTTGAAGTACAACAAAAATGAATCCAAGTTTTTTCTAAATTTTCCAATAAAGTAGAACAAAAGAACGATGTATTTATAAATTATTCTATTGATTATCAAAAATAACGCACCGCGTCCCCATTTGTCTCGAATATATCAGGTTAATGAGATTTTGAAAAATTCACATATATTAACGGTTTAAGAGTGAATTTTTCAGAAAATAGAAACATATTGTTACCAACAATTTATTTATTTGTATTTTTTTCATCTAAATTCAAAAAGATAATCATTGATTTCCTGTTGAAACACACAGAAATCAGAAGTGCACCGTTAACCTTTCTCTTCCCTAATTTCTTCCATTTAAGTAGGCGGACTTGATTACTTTTTCCGTAAAGGAAAAACTCCCGATATTTATCATGAAACAACTTCATTTCGTAACTCTGATGTCACTCCTAATAATGAAAATTACAGTTTTTCTAGAAATTGATCCAGATAAAAGCGCAAACTTGTGTAACAAAAAAGTGGCAATTTCCTATATAAAGGAAAATTAGGGAAGTGAGAGAGTATTTTTTTTTTTCTATGGACCAAATTATAAGAGGTAATTATTATTGATCAAATGAATCGCGCGTAATTCGCATTTAAAAGCCAACCCACACGAGAGAGATATAGGCATATAATACCATTAAACTATCATTATTCATCCGACATGCTCAGACCTCACGCGACGCGCTTTCATTTCACTCGGCACTAGGGAGATTAATTGCATGGAGACAACGCATTATGTCCAGATTGCTGGAAGAAAAGGTATATGCATCTTCATGAGGATTGAAATGCGAGTCTCGTCGCGCACTCAAAGAAGAAGAAGATAATTCTTAAGATAATATAATCCCCCATCAAGAATAGTGGTATGGTAACACCATGTCCTGCAAATTCTCAAGGTCCTTTCACTGTTTTTTTTTTTTTCCAATATTGATAATTTATAGATTACTCATTTGGTATATCCATTTTCAAATGAAACTCAATCTTTATTTTCACTGCAATTTCAATTTTTTTTTTCTCAGTATTATTATTATATTTATTACGTTTCTAATAATAGTTACGAGTAGGAATAAAATTGAAATGCAATATGAGTCTCAAAAGGTTAAGACGAAATGGAATAATTTTCGGTATATATTCTATTTGAAATAGTCTCTCTCTCTGACCGTAATCCTATATCATGTTGAAAGATTTAAAGTTAAAATTATACCCTCCTGACCAAGAGGTTTTACTTTCGGTGTACACTTAATCTATGTTGCGTTCACGATTATCTTTATCTACCTCATGGACCTCGGGGTGTCTGACCTGTCATAAAAAAAAGTGTGAGAACCTATATAGAAGGAGAAGGATTCTCTGATAACTTAGAAAATCGCGTCTATAAAACAGCAATATGAACCAAAGAACTTCAAATCACTATTAAATACTAAGTATATAATTTTTTTTTTTTTCTAAATCATTCTAAATTTTTTAAATTCGCGGCGGGATGTCTCTTTGCAATCGGTAGTAACATCATATTATATATGAATATATATTCTTTGAAAGTTGTTGTAATAACGGTTCCTGGAATTTTACTCAAACTGAATTACAGTGGTTTCCAACAACGAGTGCTAAACTTTTATCTCTTCTTATGATATATGACTAAACTTCAGTACAGACCTTAGCTTTGTGTGCTCTGGCGGGCTTCGCGCGTTATGCTCAAATACAACACGTGTTGACCATGTAACAATATGACTCGGGTCATCAATTTTTTTCCCTCTCATTTCAAAAAAAAAACTAATCATTAAATGACATCTTGTCTCTAAAAATCACGGAAGTTTCACATTACAGAATTGGTAAAATTGTATGCAGAAAAAAAAATTCCTTGGAGAATATTTTAATAACAGATGACGACAATTATATAAATCAATTAGCATATATATGATTCGAAGCCCTAGGGGGACATTTTTCCACACTTTCAGTTATAGAATGGCATATAACTCTAACTGCAAAGTATATATATGACAGTCAATTGCAATCATCTTGCAATTAGTGTTGCATCGAGGGGCAATAAAGTTTGTTTATAGAACAATAATTAGTCGCGCAGAACGATCATTTCTCGAGAAGAGAGATGGGAGGTTTGTGACTTGGACGATACCCATAGGCGAATCACGTATATATGTATGGTATATGGCGTAAATCTAATCCACTCGACAGCGGACGATCGCCCGCTGAAACGCGCTACCCGATCATCAGTCGTGAAAGTGTAGCCATGGAAAATGATTACACGATCTTCGTTTTTTTTTGCAGCCTCTCTCTCTTTCTCTTTCTTTCAATACTATTTCAGCCCTACGCGCGCGGATCATAGATTAAGCCGCGCCTCCTCCACTAGTGGAAAACGATAAACAGAAACGGCGCAAATGGGATTTATTGTAATTGGTGGTAATGATGGTTTTACTTGGCACGGCTCAGCACCTTACTCGCACTTAAACACTTTGGCGATGACGTCGATCATAAGTCACGAGACATGTATAAAAGGCGCAAAGTGCGTAATTCCTCTTTAGCAATATTATTCCGTTCTAATATTCTGATTAAATCGAGCTAATGATTGTGAGGCTACTATACAATCTTAAGGAATAATTTTCAAAATTATTTATTGACTTTTGTCCTACTTCCTAAATCCAAGAGGCAGATTTTTCCAAAGCATTTTGAATTCGAATCCGAACCCTAAAATCTGTATATAAAAATTAACTGCAACATGAAGCAGATTAATGTTCAGATTTTGGGGTTCGGATTCGGATTTAAATCTGTATATAAAAATTAACTGCAACATATTGCAGATTAATGTTCAGATTTTGGGGTTCGGATTTAAATCTGTATATAAAAATTAACTGCAACATGTTGCAGATTAATGTTCAGATTTTGGGGTTCGGATTCGGATTTAAATCTGTATATAAAAATTAACTGCAACATGTTGCAGATTAATGTTCAGATTTTGGGGTTCGGATTCGGATTTAAAATGCTTCGAAAACACAGAAAACTAAAAGGCAATAAAATAAGCTGCAACGCTTATTATTTTAATCCAATTTTGCTTATTTTAATACCAAAATGGATTAAAATAATAAACGTTGCAGCAGCTTATTTTAATGCCTTTTAATTTTCTGTGGAAATCTAATTCTTGGGTTTAGGAAGTAGGACAAAATTTAGTCTAAATAATTCGAAAATTCCTATAGTTTAGCAAATTTTATCCTATAGTTGACAGTAGGTCCTAGGCCGACAGTATTGGTTAAAATTACCCGCAACAAAATTTATCCAACCTTTTTTCTGTAATTATATTTGAGACCAGATTCGGATTCAGCAAGTCAAAATTTCGTAAACAATCTCTGGCAAAATTTTATCAGCCTGTATTTCCAAAAAAAAAAGAAAATGAAAGTCGGAATCATTTAATTATAATTGAAAATTCTCGTTTTAAAGATAAAAAATATATTTACGGAAAGCTTGTATACTGTATGTACACACATCCGCACGAAAATTGTGTAGCAGGAAATATCACAGCTGCCGCAAAGGATATAACACTAGCACCATTCGTCTTGATTTATTGCACCCGCGCAAACCAGGCTGAATTTCATATATGAATCTCAGGAAGCGCAAGATGAAAAGAGATCAGTTGTTTGTGTATGTATATATATAGACAAGAAAGAGAAGCGTGATTTAAGAAAATAAGGCAGAAGGATTTGTTACTTTGTTTGTTAAGCGCGTGAAAGTGAGACCAATGGCGAAGATTTGCCTCAACTGACAAATCGGTTCTTACTTTCAGTCCCGACAACTATACGGAAGGTTCGCACGATCGACGAGAGATGCCCTCAAGTCTTGAGAGAATGACGTTTTAGAAGAAAAACTAAAATAAGATTCAATAACAAACCTAATTTTTTGGAATTCAAATATTTGTTTTTCGAATTAAAATGATTTGGAAATTATTTTCTCGCAGATATAAACTATCCGAGATTAGTGAACCTAAAAGCAGGAAGATCGTTTGCTTAGATGAGAGAGGGTTTAATTCAGCGTGTAAGCGAACTCTTCCAGGAAGTTGAATATAGCAACCCTTTTGCTAAAGCAACAACAATGGTTTTGTATATACGGAAAAGCTAATGCATCTCAACCGATTTTCTCGCCTCTGACATTGCACCGTGTGGCAAATAACAGTTGGTGAACGGTACTTTATTTTTTCAACTTCAAAGTTCAAGTTATTTCTTTTCTCTTTCGGATAACTATATCTGAATGTAAAAAAGGAATAACAATACTTTAATACAAATAGTTACAAATAGTATTTGAAGCATTTTTTAAGTGCTAAAAGAAGCAAGAGTTATAAAGAGTGAGAAAATGTAACAGAACTTTCATTGAAATCTCGAAAGTGAACTTTATCGTTATCGAAGCAAAGTAAAAGTAAAACTTGGATTGTAAAGCAAAAGAATATATATAGCTAACTTCAATTGTCCTCGCGCACATACTTGAGGGGGATTCGTATCCAATTCACTGGGTTTGCGGTTTATAAGTCGGTGACTCTTAAACCATACACAACGTGGTCCAGATAGATCACGTGCGATATAATTAATGAGCACGACCTGCAATTCCCATACACACCTCTTAGCTCATGGCTTCACCCTAACAAGTACCTAGATTCTCCAGGTTAGTTTGCTAACCTTACCTTAACCCAAGAACAAAATCGAGGTAACAATGGCGACAGTAGGCAAAAAAAAAAAAAAAATCTTTGCATAAATAACTCTCCAGCACAATAGACTCCATGCATTATATACTGTATACATTTTACTCATGAAAATCCACATATTTCAGAAAAAGTACTATTTGTTGGTTTTTTTTACTGATGAAAGTTTCAAATATTTAAAACTATTTTTATCTACATGTTGCAAAATTATTTTCGAACGTTCGGAAAATATAAAGAGAATAAATAAATTCCCCCAAAAACAAAGAAAGACTTACCCCAATGTTGATTCCATTTGTCAGTTCCTCACTCGTGTCCTGATGATTTTTGTTGAAGACCAAAATGTCGACATCATCCACCTCCTCGAAATTGTTAGTTGTTGTCGTAACTTCCGGCACATCTGCTATCAATGTATCGCTTGAATCACACTTGCTCATAATATTATCATCCTGAATCTCCGTTTCCTTCTTCTCAGTTGGTGGACCTTCGACAAGGTTATCAGGGTCCTTCGTCGTCTTTTCTTTCCGTGCTTCTTCATGAACGCCAATGTCACTGGCATCCACGTACAGTGAACCTCTACTGCCCTTATCGAAATCGTTCTTTGATTCATCATCATCATCATCATCGAATTGTTCTTTCTTTGAATTCTTCGAATCATGAATATCGTGCTTGTTTATTTTTGATGATGATACCTCATGGGGAACGGAAGAGATTGTTTCTTCAAGGTCGTCATCAGTTGTAACCAGTTCTGGTTTGCTGCTAGAATCAGATGACTCTTTAAGATACCAAGAACTACAATTCTCCCTTTTTCTTTCAACAGAATTGTCTTCACTTTTTGAGAGGGCACCTTTACATTTTTTCAAATAACTTTTCACTCTTCTTGCTTTACTTTTTCGTGTCTCATGACCTCGTGAAATACCATCTGTCTCATTTGGCTTATCCGTTTGTTCGTGATCAATTTTTGAATTTTCTTTGGTATCCGGGGCAGAGGTGTCGTCCTCACATTCCTTTGCAAGAGTCCAGGTCTCATCTTTCTCGGATGCTCGACGATCCACTGGAATCACCTGAAAACAAAAAATGCAAATATAATTTTAAAACTTGTCTATAGTAATTTCTGTTTTAAAAAGAAAAAAAAAAAATTACAATAAGAGACTGTGCAGTAGTTACACAACTCCCGGTAAGTTAAACATGTGTAACATGGACTCAGCAGAAGAGAGAAACGAGCTCGTCTTGAATCGTTTGTTTCATGCCGGAAATGGCGCTTTGGTATATTAAAGATGCTGGCGGGGTTCATATATACTATATGCATATAGAAAAGGATTAGGGATGTCTCCAATGTCTAGTGCTGATCGACAGTTAAGCAAACTGAGCAATACAACATATAGCAAAAGACTTTCATCGTTTTAGAGAACGGCCGAGAACACAAGATTGAATCTTAGACGCGATCAAGGCGATAACCGAGAGGCGTGGGAGCGAATACGGCTAATCTTTCGAGCGAGTAGCTCATTCAAATCCGAGCGTGTCTCCTTCTCCACCTTCACCGTCACCTTTTACGATATAACCGCGCGCACAACTACATATCCTAATGACAAGAGCCACCATGTCATTGACTCGAAATAGGGAAAGCTACTTCATAAAATCCCTTCTTTCTTTTTAAAAAAAATACTTCCTTACTTCCAAAAATTTATGGTAGAAAATAACTTTTTTTCTACTGTCTTTTCTTCAACATTTTTCGCATAATCCGCAAGGAAATGAAACTCTATTGATGACTTTCAAACAGGGGGAATAGAAAACGTGTTTCAAACTCATTACCCATTCATTTATATAACGATATCGTTTTAATAAGGATCAATACTAATCGATAGGTTAGATTTCCGATATGTGTTTATTTTGGAAAAATTATAACAGAGTGAAAACAACTAATGAATATTGCTTTGACAACATCCTGGTGCTTAAGTTAACACTCTATTGAGAGTAAATTAAATAGACTTGTTTGGCTACATGATATTGACTCCATAATTTGCTTTTTCACCTTCTGTTCAAATAACAAATTGTTTCCTGTTTTCGATTTTCCACACCTAAATCCATTATTCTACCATTAATAAAACCAAACAAAATTTTACTATTTTTTATTTCGAGTTCAAAATTGAGCGAAAATTAATAAATTTAAATAACGTAATCATTTCTGCAAAAAAATGATTCTATTTCACGAAACCTTGAATCAATTAGAAGCACATGGTTGTACTCTATTGAAGCATGAAATGTACAAGTGGAATGTAAGCAAAAAAAAAAAATTGCCTGCGTAATTAAAAAACTGCGACTGAAAAATTGCTATACTAAAATTCTACTATAAAATACTAATAAAAATCAATGATTCCGTTAGCATTTTTTTTTCCCACCTTTAAAAATATAATTTTACTACACGACGACAAATATTTATTTCTCATTTAATGGTTTTTGTTACAAGCTCAAAACACCGTTTTATGAAGGAGATGAAAAATTCAACTTAGAATTTACGCACATAAATAAATGGAAAATTTTTGTCGTAAGTGCAGTATTAAGACATAGAAAGAGAGAGAGAGATTTAAACTAAATTGTGCTCAACGAAGCATGTTGCTCCGGATGTCCACTTGCCTCTCTTTATTCCAAAGAAACCTAAGTAACACAAGGATTTATCGATCCCTGATTCACGCCACCACTATATGGTACTTTGGAATCTAGTAACTCAAGCACTTGACACTTAGTAAGTGCGTGCAAGTAAAGACACATTCGAGTTGAAAAAGAGAAAGATTGGCGCATTCGATATTTCCGTATACTTCAATATATACCGATCCTCGAATATTTATTTTCCTTTACACAATTTCAGAAAACGGGGCGTTAAACTTATGACCCGGAATTTTACGCAAAAGGATAAGATCAAAGAGGAAGTACTTAAAAACAAGTTTAGAGCCTTTTGCAACATTGTCGGTTTTACAACAAGGCAAAAATCAGTTCACAGTACAATTTTTATTTTAACAATGTAAAACGAGACACAAAAATCTTTTTTAAATCCTTGTTTCCTGCTTGTTAATAAAGACAATATAAAAATTAGAACTAAACAAGATGCTCATATAAGCGCATAGTAAAATTACTTTCGTGAAATTTGAGCTTTAAAATTTCACCCAACTTCCATCGAGACGTCGCTCACGATCTCGATCGCGGAAATAAGGTTATGTCGATTATATCGCGCGTGCGCGATAAGAAAACGCAAATAACAATATGTACATGTTTTTGCTAACTGATTTCGATTCCTCCTCCTATAGCGACCAAATAGGAGAGAGTATAGCAAAATGTGATTTTGCGATAAAAACAATTTTAAACTAAAAATACTTTATTAAAAAAAAAAAAGACTAAAATCGTGAATATTAAATTATTTCGCTAACTAAAACGACAGGTTACAAAGTACCCGCTGAAAGAGAGCTTCCTCTCTCTCTCTCCTCTCTCTATAAAGAGATAAACGCCACTTGTTTTCCCCTTCAATCTACATGGCAAGTCTATATATAAATTTTTTTTTTTTTTTTCACTACGCTCGTAACACGCATCGTCCAATCATCTCAGAGAGGCGAGATTGGATCGGGAGCATAATTCGATGTGTAGTCTCTTTTGCGTGCTCAGATTATGTTAGGTTAGTGAAATGCAAGGCAGCCCAAGGGCAAGGCGAGTCCATGAACAGGCACACAAAGCGGCGCAATGCTTTTAAAGTTGGGAAATAAAAAAAAATAAAAAAATTCTTATAGGAAGAGAGTGGTGGTGGTGTTATACGGAGACTGCTCGACGTCTGGCTGAGCCCACGGGGGGTGCCACGACCCCCCGAGGGTGCGATCGATTTTGCCCCCTCCCCCCCTCATACTCCACCCGAGAGAGTAGACAACGAGAAGCGGAGGCACTGGCCTCGCGCTGCTTCACCCCATCCCACCTCATTTCAAAAACCCACCCAGCTTATACTACCTCCTCATATCGCGACGTTTACCACACACTCAGACATATCCTAATATATATGTATATGCGAAGAATTCTGCATTCAGAAATAGTTTCTTTGAATCAATTAAAAAAAAATTTATTTCATATTAAAAATATTTAGCTCCAGGTAAAAATTTACAGATGAATATTTAATCTAAGCTAAAAATTTATCTCACCTAAATATATTTTTGTTACACTGAAAAATAATTTATTTGATTCAAATATTACTTGATTATAAAATAAAAAATTTACTTAAACGAAATAATTTTTAAAACCAAATAATTGAATTAAACTGTATTTGAAACAAATACTCTCTAAATCTGAATTAGTAAAAATGTTTATTAATTTGAATTAGTGACTCACTTTTTGCTTCTGAATTAGTAAAATTTTACTAATTATTAGTAACTTTTACTAACAATTAGTAAAATTTTACTAATTCAGAAGCAAAAAGTGAGTCACTAATTCAAATTAGTAAACATTTTTACTAATTCAGTAAAAGTTACTAATAATTAGTAAAATTTTACTAATTCAGAAGCAAAAAGTGAGTTACTAATTCAAATTAGTAAACATTTTTACTAATTCAGATTTAGAGAGTACCATTTAATTGACTCAAATAAATTTCTTTTCAGTTAAATTTCAATAAAAATTCAGTTATTTTTCATAACCTAAAAATAAATTTTTTAGTTATTTTTAACTGATTACTAGAAATATTTTTATTCAAATTGGCTGAACTTTTTGCTTTCGAATTAGTTATTTTTTACTTATTAAAATTTAGAAAGAAAATTATTTGATTCAAGTAAACTGAAAATTAAAATTAATTAAAATTTACCAATAGTAATTAATCAAATTAATTATTTGAATCAAATAAATTTTTTTTTCAGTGCAGAGCTAAATAAACATTTATATCTCAAACTAAACTTCAGTTTAAATATATATATACTTTATAAACAAGAAACGAATTTCTACAATCCAGTTTGGTAAACTTCGAGTAAAATTCGATTAAAATCATTCGAAACAATTTCAATCTAAAAAATAAGCATAATCTGTTACCATATTCTGTGTGAAAAAAAAAAAAAAAAAGAAAATAAATGAGATGGAAAAATATGTAGAAGAAACTGAATGATTTAGCAAATGATCTTTAAAGAATAGAGCCATAAAAATTCTACCTGAATATATATTTATTTAAAAATTATGAGGGTAGTTTTTAGCATCGCATTATTTAAAGATTTATGTATACACAACGATAAAAATGCATATGAAAAAAAAAAGTGGAGCATAATGATTAGAAATCATATATATATCTTAAAAATAATCTTAGAAATAAAAAATAATTTTTAAATAAGAAGATACAGTCTCGCACACTAATAAAAGTGATTATCTCGAACCAATAAATTTTCACAGAGGGAGGCATAAATTTCAATCTAAATAGGAATCTCATTTCTGAATGTATTTTGTGTATGTGTCGCGCATCAGCGAAAAAGAAAGGAGGAAAAACTACCTTGCATTTCGCGAGAGTCCACACACATACAAAAAGGCGAAGAAAAGACAGATCTCTTGTCTCTCGAATGCACAAAAGGGTTGTCGTTTACTGTTGGCATTCGTAAAAGCGAATATGTGTGGGCGTGTGCACACTCGTAAAAAAAAAAAATGTGTTGACAGTACCATTAAGACGACGCGGTGCTCATATTTACCGAGATATTTACTGTGGTCCGTAAAACTTGGAATTTGTCAATGACCTTATATCTTGTACCTCATTCTTCAAAAAAAAAAAAAAAAAAACTGAGAAAATTTTTTTTGAAGCGTTTTTTCACGTAACACTCTAAATGGAGGAAATTTGTATTCACACAACAGAAGTACAAAATACTTGCAAAAACTACATAAGAATATATGTTATACTTGAAATAAAATATACACAAATTTAAAATGTTATGCAAGGATATAAAACAATTTTGTACTTTGAAAAAAATAATTTGCAATAATTTAAATAATTCTTTATAAACTTCATTTTTTATATATATTGAATAGAAGCCGAAAATAAGTCACGGAATAATAATTCTTTAAGATT